TATATATATATATAGCTGTCTTGTGAGAAAACAACAATATATACAGCATATCAGCATATCAGATGCTGAGATCAAGAACCTCAGGAGCAGCTTCATTCACAATCTACAATGCAAGGAACAAATATATCCACACAATCGAACAGATAAAATTTATAGCAAGCAGTGGTTTCCCCAATTAAAAAAAACAAACTTCTGTACAGATATGCAAGAAATAGAACAGTGCAATAATAATCAATACATAGTGTTTTAAACGTCGATGGATGCACAGTAAGATTTCTTTTCATCACATTAGCACAGACACAATATAGATATATATATGTATAACTCAATGTACAAGGTCCATAGTACTCGATACTACTATACAGCTCTAACCTGTATGATGTGCACTGAATGCAATAATAGCTTTATATAGGTAAAGAACAGGAGTGCTGGGATCACGTAGCATGGCAGTAGACTGAAGATGAGGAAGTAGATTGTACAATAATAATTTACACCATTTGCACAACCTCCTGCTGCCAATGTTCTCGAGGTTAACACGATCCGAGATCGGTCCTTTACAGAAAACATAATGGTGTGCAAGTGCCATCCACAACGGGAACAGTCGTTTCTTCAGTCCTTTTCGCCATCCTCACTGCTACCTGCAAATAAAGAACAGAAATGTTTAAAAAAAACTTTTTTTAGGCAAAATAAATGAACTGTGACAATACTTTACCATTGCTAGCAAATCTGCACCCATTCTAGAATGAAAAAGGTTCATATGTGCAGGAGAGGTGTGTGGCGGGTGTTACAGTGTGTTGTATGTGCAGGAGTGGGTTATGGAGGTTATGATGGCAGGTAGTGTGTGCAGGAGAGGTGTGTGGCGGGTATTACAGTGTGTAGTATGTGCAGGTGTGGGGTGTGGAGGGTATGATAGCGTGTAGTATGTGCAGGGGTGGGGTGTGGAGGGCATGATAGCGTGTAGTATGTGCAGGGGTGGGGTGTGGAGGGTATGATAGCAGGTAGTATGTGCAGGAGAGGAGTGTGGCGGGTTTCCCATGGGTAGTATGCGCAGGAGTGGGGTGTGGAGGGTATGATAGCATGTAGTATGTGCAGGAGAGGAGTGCGGAGGGTAAGATAGCAGGAAGTATGTGCAGGAGAGGAGTGTGGTGTGTATTACAGTGGGTAGTACATGCAGGGGTGGAGTGTGGAGGCTATGATAGCATGTAGCATGTGCAGGAGTAGGGTGTGGAGGGTATGATAGCATGTAGTATGTGCAGGAGAGGAGTGCGGAGGGTAAGATAGCAGGAAGTATGTGCAGGAGAGGAGTGTGGTGTGTATTACAGTGGGTAGTACATGCAGGGGTGGAGTGTGGAGGCTATGATAGCATGTAGCATGTGCAGGAGTAGGGTGTGGAGGGTATGATAGCATGTAGTATGTGCAGGAGAGGAGTGCGGAGGGTAAGATAGCAGGAAGTATGTGCAGGAGAGGAGTGTGGTGTGTATTACAGTGGGTAGTACATGCAGGGGTGGAGTGTGGAGGCTATGATAGCATGTAGCATGTGCAGGGGCGGGGTGTGGAGGGTATTATGTGCAGGGGTGGGCTGTGGTGGGTATTACAGGTGGGTAGTATGCACAGGGGTGGGGTGTAGAGGGTATGACCAGGAACAATGCAGTACTATATTGTGCTTATGTGCACTTTGCATTTTTTTTAACTGAACATTTGGTTTTGGTAAACACACTAATATCTTGTGACATAAAAAAAAAAATTGCAACTGCCACCATTTTATTCCACAGGGTCTCTGTTTTAAGCAAATCTATAAATCTGGGCGAGAAGAGTTAAGTAATCCTCAGGCCTAAAATGTATAATTTTAACAAGTGTGCAAAAAAAAAAAAAAAAGGCAAAAATGCCAGTGTCTAATCACCCAAAGGGCAGATGCATAACCCATCTGTTGAAGAACTAACTCTGTGGTTTGCTTCTCTCATAGCAAAGAGAAGAACACTAGCAAAAAACATAGAAATGATGGGAGTGGGAGGGGTGATACTAGACTGTCCCCACAGTTTTGTTTGCCATTTCAAAATTTCCTGAAGGCAACAGCATAACCCTAGGTACTTGAATTACACCCTGTGTCCCATATTTACAATTAAGAAAACTATTTTAACATTTTTTTTTAGCATTTATTTTATTAGATGAGGCCACGGGCCTGCGACACGTCATTGTTTATGAAGTTCCCACATATGACAGTCACACATGTGGTAGAATAAAAAAAAATGAAGGCACCATGTGAGGCAACCTATCATATCATGTTTGAACAGGTCTGTACCAAGGAGACAAAATGCTTCCACTGTGTTTCTACTAGATTAATAAACAGACAACCACTATACTTCAAGAGCCAGTGTTGGGAACAGACCGAGGAAGAATTGTCAAAAACGGAGTTGCTTTCTTTTTCAAGGAACAGACAGCCATATGTATTTTTGGTGAGACTTACTGAAGAAAGTTGTTACATTTCAGAAAAGCATGGTTGGTGGCAGAGTCCAGTTAATGGAGTGAGATGCCTAAACCATAAACCTCAAGCGGGATCTATTTAAGCCGTGTCTGGTGAACTTGGATTCATTTTTTTAAAATGTTTTGCAGCAGTTAAATATTAACTTCAGCAGCAGGTTCCACCTGCTCTTCTCTCATACCTGTACACATCTGCTTCAATCACACATTAGTTCAATGTCACTTTATACCTAATCTGGAAATTATAATGTAAGGCCACATAGAAAGGTTCTGCCGCTAAAAATTTTATCTTATCGCTTGTCGACTCTCATAATGCAAGTGCAAACAACCCTTTTTATTCCAAAAAAACTTAAGATCTCTCCTTAGCTGTACTAGGCTAGATAGTCATTGAGGTGGCACAATAGAAGCGAAAGCTAAATATTACTCGCACACAGGTAATATGCTTAAATGTTTATATGGAAATGATTAACTTAAAAAAGCGCAACTTTCCATTTATGAATACTGATATCATTCTTCTATGTTTCTAGCTTTCTGTAGTGGTGCAGTACGAAATGTGTAGGATACATTACTCGCAGTACACCAGCACACTGTTCTCTTTACACCATTCAGATCCAGACCGGCTGTAGATACTCAAATCCTGTCTGAATTGGTGCTGACACTGTCCTTCCTTCTGGAGGGTGGCTACTTTTGTTCCTCATGGTCCCTGTGTGTGTTGTAAAGTAGCCACCACTCCAAGCTCATGCCTGTGATGGACTACAATCTCAATACAAATTAGTAAACGAAACAAGAGATTGTAGTCCTTAATGGGAGTGAGCTTGGAGTGGTGGCTACTTTACAAAATACACAGGGACCATGGGGAACAAATTTAAAATCAATGTTTTTGGCGGGTGCATCTGAACCCAATTAAGGGTAAAACAGACTAAGTGTATACTTGAAATAAAACAGATTAGAAAGTGCAAATTCGATGTAGTTTTGCAGAGGACAGCATGTATACGCTAGACATATTTACCTTTTTACATATTTATATATGTACCCTAAATACCCCAACAAAAGAAGCAAAGAGGTAGTTCACATATTACTTCTAAAATAAGCACTTACCCCCTTGTTCAATATCGGAGTCTGTTAGGTGTGTGAGGGAAAAACTTGCCATATTTGCTGGTGAAATGGAAAATCTTGAGTAAGACGTGTGTGCCCAGTTTTCATCTGAACCTCTAGATGGAGGTGGAGGTGAAAAGTATTTTCCAGGGTTAACAGGTAGTCTGGAATTCATAAGGTTTGCCGCTTGTTTGTTTAAAAACGACGAATCAGAAGCTGTGAAGTCATCATCCCATTCAAATGCACCTCCTAAAAGAGTGAAAAGAATCATTTATTTAGGCACAGTATAGGAACAGAACTTCTCAGGTGTATGTTTTCATGTTAAGTAAATACAGTCTAAGTAATCTGTAAGCAACAATTACAAATACATTATACCTTTCAAAGATCGCAATACTCCCCTAACATCTTTGTAATCCTTTCGATCCAAATGGCCTCATCTTTATTCAGTCATCATCAAGGGTCAGAATCAACTTCCTGATCCAAGATGTTGCCTTACAAATGAAACAATCATGTGAATCCTGGGACCTGTGCAACTTAATGTTAGTGTGTTAGTGCGATCTGCACTTCAATAGCTTATTTCCAGTGTAAAGGTGACACTGAGGGTCTTTTGGACCCCCAGCATCACCTTAAAGAGTACCTGTCACCACCATCTGCTATCACATGGGAGTAGACCCAAGTGGAATATCAGCAGTCTTAAGGTGCCCTTACACTTTACAACCCTCACAAGACTTTTATCTTGCGAGGGTTGTAAAGTACTTAAAAAAACGTACGATCTGCCCATCTTGGACATGCAGATCGTACTTGTGATCATCAGGGGGGCGGGCTTGCTATGACAGCAATGAGGGGCGGGCTTGCGATGACTGCAAACGGGCAGTGTGCGCACACCGGCCGGTTCGGCAATTGTCGAACAAGCAGGCCACTAACTCGCCGAGAATCGTACGACTCCCGGCGGGTTTTCCAGAAAAAAAAATGATCTCACTAAGCTTTTGCCTTTAGGAACACATTTTTTCAGGCTCCTAGAAAACTTATATGCTTAACCCAAAAATGCCTTTTACAAAAAAAAAAAAAGTATTTTGCTCCCAATAACCAAACAGCTGCACTTTAAGCTCGAGACTCTGTCAATATAAAAGGACACAGGCTGCAAACTGGATCAAGGCCGGTGATTCAACTTGGGCCCCTTTCACAAGGTCTGAACAGGAGGGGATCTGTGCACAGATCCCCTCTTGATCGGAACAGATGTGACCATAGCAACATCCATGTAGCTTTTCCCTCCACCTTGCGATGGAGCAAAAAACTGACATTACCTGACCCATGTTAGTGTATGGGCAGCTGGATCTAAACAGAGAGGTGTCCATTTACATACTGTTACCCCCAATCTGGTACGATGAAATCTGGCTAAATGGATCTCCGATCAGTTTGTTTTTCTGGAGCAGCAAGAGCCGGGATGACCGGATGTAAATGGACGCCCGTCCGGTTAGATCCGGCTGCCCATACACTAAAATCGGGCTTCTGATAAAGTTTGCCTTGAATAACTGACAGGCGGACCCGATTGGAAAGCCTGTGTGAAAGAGGCCTTAAAAGGTAACCTGAAATATCCAGCTGGCTAATTTGGAATTTGTATCTTGAATGGATAGATGAGGTCTTGTGCACTTAAGTACTTATGATACATTTTATATGAAACCCTGAGGTGTAGCAAAAAATAAAGCACAAAGGGTAGTACTTTAGCTGATGGGCTCCTGGAATTTGTCTTTAGATTTACGGAGTTTCATTATATAAAAGACCGCTTATTACAATATTTCTCTTAAAAAGGAGAACTATGAGGCGAGTGAAAAGCACTGCTGACTGGCGGAAAGGACGGGGGAGGGGGCGGGTACAGCTGGCTTCCTCTAGATAGGCAAAGCTAGCTGTCACTCAAGCAGCTGGGTGGTTCCAGACAGTAAAATCAGGATCCGCCCCAGCTGCGGCGTCTCAGTATACCGCGAGCTGTAGCTCGCCATATACTGAGCTTTGGGTGATGGGAGGACGCTAGTTTGGGTCCTCCCGTTACCCTTAGGAGAACTATGGGGAAAAGCCCTGACCCCATAGTTCTCCTTTAACTGCTTGCTGACCAGGTGTTTAGGCCCCCTTCCTGGCCAGGCCATCTTTCAGTATTCAGCGCTGTGGTACTTTGACTGACGTTTATTCCGTCATGCAGAGCTGTACTGAAATGAATTTTACACCATTTTTTGGGGACACAGAGCTTTCTTTTGGTGGTATTTAATAACCACTACGGGTTTAATTTTTTACTAAAAATTGTTTAAAAAAAAGTTTTACATTATGTTAGGAAACATTTATTATTACCCAGTTTTTGGTAAAATATAAAAGTCGGGGTCACGCCGGTTAAATAGACACCAAACATGGCAAGCTTTAAAATTGTGCGCACCCGCGAAATCTCATAAAAATACCATACCCAAAATTGGCCATAGGCGACTCTTTAAAAGCTTTTACCGCTCATCAGTTTAGTGTTATCATTGATGGCCCTAGAATTATTGCTCTCACTCAGACGTTCGCGGCGATATGTAACATGTGCGGCGTAATGGGCGCAATCGTCTTTCTTGCACGTATGCGCCCCCGACGCATGTTTGCATGCGTGTATGTATGGGTGGGGACTTTAAACATTTTTTTTGTTTTTTTATTCTTTTGTATGTGTAACTTTAAAAATTTTTTTTTTTGGGGGGGAGAACTAATTTTTTTTCCACTAAACTTTGCTATCACATACGGGGGCTAATAAAACCCCTATGTGATAGCAAAATATCTGACAGGTCCTCTTTATGGAGACATCAGGGGTCTCCAAGACCCTTAATGTCACCTAGAACCCCCAAAAGAAGCTGATGAAGCACAAATCTGCCCCATCAGTTTCTTTCCAGCTTCTGAAGCTGGAGAGTGACACAAGAATGCGGAAGTGATGTAATACACAACACTTCCGCATTCTTGCAGAGGAGAGGGGAGCGGAGGGAGCTCGTGTAACTATCTCCTTCTGATCCGCTGTGACACAGGCGCCATGCTGATCCCGGGCTCTACAGCCGGCATATCGCTTGTATGTTAAAAGGTATCACTGCCTGTTTTTAAATATTGGGCATTTCACCGCGGGGGAATGTCTGAGCGGACGTCTAAAGACGCCCGCTCAGATCTAGAGAGCTCCCGGCCGGCCGTTTTTTTTCTACGGCCGGCCCGGAGGTAGTTAAAAGGTGTTTCTGTATATTATTCAGAACTACAAAAATTGCAATATTATTTAGTCTGGTAAATATGAAACACTGCTCATATTTACCCATTTCCAGAGAGCAGGTGGAAGTTTTCCTCCTTTTCACATGGTTGTGTGGATAATACATTAATTTCCTTGATTAAGCTCATTTTAAAAGGCCAAGAGCTAAACCTTAAATTACACAGAGATAGCTGAGTTAGGTCTGGTTCACACTGAGCGTTTTGAATGACTTTTGCCTGGTCAGTAAATGGATTGTTATGAACTAAACAAGTTATTGCACTTTTCTACCATAAATATCCCATACCCTCTTCATCAGTTGAGCTCTCAGAGTTTGTGAATCGAGATCCTGGAGCAGATGGGGAAGATTGACTGTTAGACACTGGACTACTAGAGTCCACAGCACGAGAGCCTAGATCTTTGGTTGGCGTTTCCTACAAAGCAAAAAGAAAAAAAACGGCACTCTTAACAGCACACTGATATATAATAAATCCTAGCAGTCACAACTATAATCGGAAGCAGCCATTAAGGAATAGCAAAACCAGTGTACAGGTTTGTTTTGGGGGCGGAGGAGGGTTGGAGAGAGAGAGAGAGAGAGAGAGAGAGAGAGAGAGAGAGAGAGAGAGGAGAGAGAGGAGAGAGAGAGAGGAGAGAGAGAGAGAGAATTTATCAAAATTGGAAGTGGGTGTGTGGGGGGGGGGGGAGGGTGGGAGAGAGAGAGAGAGAGAGAGAGAGAGAGAGAGAGAGAGAGAGAGAGAGGAGAGAGAGAAGAGAGAGAGAGAAGAGAGAGAGAGAGAGAATTTATCAAAATTGGAGCAGACTGAATCTGGAGCACCAATCAGCTTATCTCTTCAGTTTGTTTAGTTAAGATTTGAAAATAAAAGATAGGACCCGATTGGCTGCCATGGACAGCTGCTCCAGTTTGATTAATTCCCTATACAGTATATAGTGCACCTGCTATACTGGTGCATTACAAATGACTACATAAGGAGGATGTGTTAACCACTGTAACAAATGTCCGCTTGAAGTTGTGTGATTGCTTTCTTGCCATCAAAGTCAGCCTTTTCTTGTGCTATACAAGAAGTTAAGGACTTCTTTATCCTGTTTGTGTATCAGGTAATGATTGCAACCCATGTGTGCATATTTAAGAGTTTAAAATGGATGACACTAATGGGAGTCCTGTCAAGTTTACAGTCTATACATAGGACATATCCTCTGACGAGCTTAAAAATGAGATCTGGTTGACAAATGGGACTTTCATTTACAAGTAAGCAGGGATGTTCAGATACCAAGTACCGTACTTGGTACAAGTACATGTGCAGATACTTTTCCAGATCCAAGACTAAAAATGCAAAAGTTAGGAGACAGCTGTCATTTTAAAAAGGAGCACACGGAGCTCCTGGGATTTGTGCATCCCTGTTTTAATGCACGATATATCTATATCTAGCCTCAGTGTTTTTTTTTTTTTTTACATCTAGTCTACTGGACTAATACAGCTTACCCATTTACATTATCTAGATATATCTATATATCAATCTAGAAGACATTTTTTTCAAGTACACGTACAGATACAAGTACTGATACATTTTTGTTTAGTGTCATGTGACAGTTTTTCTAAAACAATACAAACGAATGATTTTAGGACAGTGATGGAGCACCAGACCCTGTCTGTACTGAGCTGGCTGATTTCAGTAGGATTTGTAAAGATTTGAAGACTGCCTGTCCTAATAAAGGGTTAAAGGATTACAGCCCTGGTTTCTGCATTCAAATGTTAATGAGAGAAACACAATCCTCAGGTTTCAGTCCCAAGTCTTTCTTTTAGGACAGATCACTGACGTTGCCGAGAAAAACCTTAAATCTGCCATGTTGCTGTAACAAAACATCTAAAAAAAAGGCATGAAATATCTTGTTTTATTTTTTTTAGGACAAAAAGTGGATTTTTTTTATTTGTACATTGACACAAACATGTTTAAAGAAAACTAAAGTGTACTAATGAGTTGATATTGCATCTTCATCAAAACATACTGATTAGTGGTTTTGTACCAACGTTCTTTACGTTGGTCAGATCTACAAAAATATGCACTTATTTGCTTGCTAACTTAATATGAAATAAGTTTTTCTATTTGAGCCAGTAGATGATGGTTTAGGCTTACGGTCTTGCTTACGGAGTTCGGAGTCAAATCAGTGACTCAAACCTAAAAATCGGATGACAATGGATGACATTTCAATCAAAAAGATAGCGCCTCATAGCAGGCAGCGTTCGCTGTGCCATCTAGCCAGCCTATACCGACTTGAGAATCCTTTGTCGTGTTTTAAATCTCTGTATAGTAAAGAATATGTAGATACTGAAATATAGACCAAACATTTTTAAAAGTCCTATAAGACATATAACCACAACCATTAGTTTCCCTTTAAAGTGACTTTTATATATTTTAAATTGCGGCTCTTTTACAGGTTTTTTTTTCGCATTAAAGATTTGTAGATTTTAACCACTAGAGTTCAATATTTGAATCAGTACAACCCCCACCCCCCTAATAACAGTTCAGATTAAACAATTGTGCTCCAGCATTGTCCTCATAAGCCATTATTGTCATAGGGGATTCCAAAGGAGACTACAATTGGCCATTTCAGCACTGTTCACTGATCTACTGTGGTCATCAAAAAAACCTGCCCTGGGAAAGGCCATGCGGCCATTCCTGGAACAGATGCATATAGGCTTTATGTTTTTTTTAAATGATTGAACACTAAATGTCATTCAGTTAGGGTTTACATCTAATTACACCTCCATGTACAAATTATACATATAAAATATTTTAAAATATATATGGCAATTATTCTCTAACCGGGTAGTATTTTGCAGAGAATCCTCTTTTTAAATTTAGATGGCAGCAGTTAAAGAGGGTGATGGGTACACAGTTTATAGGCAAACAGGTGCTATGGTTAAAGAGGACTACAAAATAAGAACTGTGCAGTCCAACAAATATGTTTAGAAAGGTCTGAGGTCCACAAATGTGACTGTTCATTCTCCCTACACGAGAAAACATTTGCAATAATGTTCAGCATAACCTTGTTAATTACGATCTTAAAATGTCAAAATAGCTTAAATGTCAAATATGTATCAATGCAAACTATACATTTCTATAGCATATAACACTTATAAAACTCTAAAAAAATTGATCTAGTTTGTATTGTGCGCTTGATCACATTTAATTGCAGACTCTTACCTGATCAAACAAGTAGATAGTAACATCATCAAAAAAGCTCACAGCCTTTTTGCTCTTCCTATTTCCAAGCAATCTGTTTGAAGCAGACTTGTGTGTTTTCATTAAACTTTTTAAGTTTTTCCCATCATCTGTTTCCATGTGAACAACAGGAACTGGATGTACAGTGTCATCCTCACTGTCTGAGCCGAAACTATGAAGGGTGAAAGCTCTTATGTCATCATCGGAATCATCACTGTTTTCATCCTCTTCATCTGCATCCATGCCATCTTCTGACAAATCAAGCAGGCCAGTAGCATCCAACTTTCCTAAGTATTTGCCTTCCATATCCGGCTCTTTTAATTTCTGTCCTTCGCTATGGCTTAGAAATGGTATATCTTTGAATGTGTTCATTGAACAGAAAACCTCAGAAGGTCCAAATGGATTTACAATTTCCTCATCCTGTTCTGATGTGCTGTCATCTGCAGTGTATTCATTGATGGGAGTTTGAATAGTCTGATGCGCATTTTCTGAACTCAGTGACAAATGTTCAGCCCATTCTCCTGGAATAAGCACCTTTTTAGGCCCACTCCTTTTAGATGTATTTTCTGTTTCTTCTGAAGTGTGAGAACTAGTTGCATTTATTATTTCAGAAGCCCGATTTTCCAAAACCTCAGGCTTCTTTTCAGGCTCAGAATCATTGTCAGAAAAATAAGCAGAGTCACGGTAAGAGTTATGACCGCCATTTGCAGAGTTCTGTGTTTTAATATCAAGGTCTTCCTCATTTACCTCAAAATTATTTTGTCCAACTTCTGATATTATAATAACAGGTGCTGTAAAAGAAGAGGGCTCAGAATCTGTTACAGTATGGCTTGATGAACCATTCACATGTGAGGTCCACTCAGGAGATTCAAGGTTCTCAGTCTCATATCCACTATCAGCTGGTTTATCGGATGGCACAAACTTGTGTGATTCCTCAGTCTCTAATATATTCTGCACATCTAAAGAATCTAGAGAATCTGGTGTTCCTATAGATGGTACAAAAGACTGTGTACAGTTTGATATAGTGTCATCTAACAAGCTGTCCTGACTGGTTGAGTCAGATGAAGAAGCAGTAGATTTTATTGCAACTCTGTTTAAAATACAGTCTCCATTTACATGCTTTGCTGAATTATCACCATCTAGAATAGCTAACTCATCATCAAATGTATCAGAATGCATCTGCTCGTTACAAGCATTTTCATGAGCCACAACATCGTGGTTATGACTAAAAGACCTGTTGAGTCCTAGACTTTCCTCGTTCATAGCATCAGAAAGTCTTGAATCAAAGGGCATGCCTTTGAGATCTTCATCCTTCTTATGATTTTTTATATTGCACACAGGCATGCTTTCAAGATTTTTGTCATGCAGATGAGTGTCAATGGCAAAATCTGTGAACGGATCAAAGGCAGCAGGCTTCATCTGTTCTACCAGTGGCAAATGTGTCAAGTTTTCTTGTTTACAGGTATCCTCAAGCTCCACGATTAACTGTTCCCCTGAGATATTAAGAAAGGAAGCATCAAGCTCTGCCAACATGAGCTCAATATCCAAACTCTTAGTGTTTTCAAAAAGGTTTTTTGCATCCAGGTTACTCTGCAATGGTTTTGTAAGATCTAATATAGGATCCTTTGCAAACGGACTGTCTGACAACATGTTCTTTTCTTTCAAAAATAAAAAATTGTCAGAAAGTTCTTTGAAATCTTCAAACCCCAGATTTGAATCGGACATACTTCCCAAAATGACGGTATCAGTATCAAAAATATTCTTATCAGAGAAATCAATCTTTGAAAACAGTGTAGAAGAACTGTGATCAGCTTGGCCTCCGATTTGATTGGTTAAGTCACAAAACGACATTTCATTTTGGATCTTTTCTGAGAGGCCAACACTGCTAGCTGGTTCAATGACTGGCAATGCAGCATGAGCGGATACATCCATGTAATCCAAAATGCCTGCCTGCTCGGACCTAGACAAATTACTTTTATTTTTACTTAAACCTGATGAATTAAGTTCACTCAGGGCAATAAACTGTACATTTTCAGCTTTTCGTCCTCTGTGATCGCCACGGTGATCAAAGTCCAACCGGCTCTCACCTTGTTCCTCCAACTGAATGTAATATTCATTAGCTACAGAAACATTATGGGCATCAAATACTGGTACAACCTCTGGAACTGCAAGTGTCTCCTCTTGGCTAGGCTGTTCTTGCTCACGGTCAGAGACTGATTTTTGAAAAACATCTACAGGAACAGGAAAAAATATGCTATTATATTTTACTGTGGTGTCAGAGTCAGAGTGACTATGTTCTTCAAAATGATCTTCTTTGGCTGCCTCCCATACATATTCAAAACTGAGCCCGTGACTAGTCTCTGTTACAGTAAGAACTTCATCTAATTCACGCCCTAGTTCATCACCAGTGAACTGATCTAAGATGGGAAATGCCAGATTGTTTGCTGCGGCCTGCCGATTGCTAGGGTTCGGCTTAAGAGAATCCCAACGCTGTTCAAAATCGGTTTCTGTCTCCCTCTGACTTTGCATGCGGAGGTATGTCAGCAGTCTGTGGACTTCTTCTGCAGTCAGGCGCTGGTCTGGAGGCAACCAACAAAACTGCAATACTTCATACCTGAAATGAGACAGAAAGAAAACTGTACAGTGACAAGAGCCTTCTGCATTGCTTTCGAAGAAAATTACAATTGTTAAATCTAGAACAAATTATGATCAGACTAATTTTCATTTATTCTATTTTGCAAGGCAAAAGAACTCCTTTTGATAGAAACATAAGGGAGAACCATAAATAAATGGATTTTCAGAAATGCTGTAGCAAAACTTAAAGCGATATTAAAGCCTAACTTTTTTTTTTAATTTCTCCTTTAAGGAGACCCTCCTTTGCTGGAGGCTGTTGCTTTTATTCCATAAAAGTGCCTAAGTGGCTCCCCGCAGCGCACTTCCACCCGTCCCCTGCACGGGTGCCACCAACATTCTAATGGAGGCACCCGTGCGTGCTCGTCCCTGCTCGTTTCCGCAGTGGCTGTGTGCGTCTATAGACACACAGCCCTGTGGCTGGCCACGCCCCTTCCCTCTTTGATTGATGGCTGAAGGAGCCTATGGCTCCTCTGCCATCAGTATCCTCCCCCGCAAACCGGAGTTCGGGGAACGGAGGATCATTTCGGACCAGCGGTGGGGACGAGCGCAGCTGAAAGGTAAGTGTGTAGGGGACTGGGGTAGAAAAAAGGTGCTGGGTCGTTTTGCATTAAGGTAAAAAAACGGCCAGACCTTAATACTACTTTAAGCTGGCCATACATCTTAAGATTTTTCTCCTTTAGCCCCGCAGAGTGAATGAGAAATAGCACTTTATTCCCCCAGAGCATGGATGGAGTAATCCCACCTGCCAGCTATTGTATTGTGACAGCAAACTAACCAAGCTGGTATGACAGGAGGCATCTACACAAACCTTCAAAATTGGATTGGAGTCTTTTTTAGTACTGTCCTAAAAGTGGTTCTTGCTTGATGCAATTAAATCTGACAAACTAAAATACCAATCATGCATTACACTGATCATTACCTAAGACACTGGCACCACTGCCTAAACAGATGCGAAGAGCTGGAAACTCTTGCTTATGTTACTTATATGCTGTTCTTTGCGGATACAGATAAGCAAGACTAGTGCTGCCTGAAGGAAGTTTACACGGAGAATGCACACTATGTACTGAACAGTGTGCATGCGTGTGTTGGGTTAAAAACATTTGCTGCAGTCATATTAATACAGAAACATGTACCGATGTACTGCCATCCTTAAAGATCCATTAACCCAAAGAATGAAAACATATATTACCATCTGTCTGCATATGGCTGTTCTAGTTGAGGTTTCGGAAGTTTTACTTCTCTTTCTTTTATGACATGGGTTATAACATCCAAGTCAGAAAACTCTGCATAAGGAGTAGCAGAATTGTCAAAAAGCTCCCAGAGTGCAACACCAAGAGACCTAGTGGAAAAAAAAGGCAGGATGTCAGTTAAGTATATTTAAGGCAGACCTGTCAATGCATTGTGACTGCCGCTTAGGAATTA